GCTGCTGGAGTCAGGCAGCCAAAGGCAAGAGACAGGCGTGAGGATATGAAGGGCTCGGGAGCTGAGGCTTGTTGCAAGGACGGGCAGTAAGGGAGCAAAGAGAGTGGCTTGTTTTGGCTATTCAGCGTCCGTGTGTCTGTCTCTTCCAGCTGCGGCAGTGCTGAACACGGCCATCCCCCCCGCCCGCCCCTCCTGCCCCACCCCGCCGCCGCCCCGCCGCCCGTGGCCAAGCCCATGGAGACGCAGACGCAAATCACGGTCCAGCCTGCGGGATTTGCCTTTAACCCTGGCATAGTAAGGAGCTGGTGGGACGTCCCAGAGGAGGAGCCAAGCGGTCTCTCCCGCGTGGGCAGGAATCCCGGCAGGCCAACCTGCCCGTTGGGCAGTCAGTACTGACGGAGCAGCTCGCAAAATGGGGCCTGATTGCCAAGCCCATGGAGACGCAGACGCAAATCACGGTCCAGCCTGCGGGATTTGCCTTTAACCCTGGCATAGTAAGGAGCTGGTGGGACGTCCCAGAGGAGGAGCCAAGCGGTCTCTCCCGCGTGGGCAGGAATCCCGGCAGGCCAACCTGCCCGTTGGGCAGTCAGTACTGACGGAGCAGCTCGCAAAATGGGGCCTGATTTGGGCTCCTTGCATCGTCATTTATACCTGGGGGGGGGCAGTGTTGCCTAATGGGTAGATCACCTACCTGGGAGAGAGGATAGCTGTGTTCCATTCCTGGCTCTGCCACCGACGTGCTGGAGGACCTCGGGCAAGTCATTTTGCCTCTGTGCCTCAGTTTCCCCATCAGTAAAAATAGGGCTGATGATTCCCCCCTTTATAAAGTGCTTTGCGGGCTACTGGTGGCGTTATTTCTAATTCTGACCCGGGGTTTTTCCTTTGCATTGGGAGCGGCCCAGGAGAAAGGGCCCGGGGAGCAGTGAGAGTAGCTGGTGCGTTGGGCAGAGCAGAGGCAAGCTGGATAGGGTGATGGAAGAGCTGAGAGAGGTGGAGTCTTTCAGAAAGTAGCGCCACAAAGAAGAAGCGTGGTCTAGTGGTGATAGCGCTAGCTTGGGACTTGGAGGCTGTGGGTTCAGTTCCTTGCTGTCTCTCAGGCGTCCCCCGGCTAAGCCCTGGTGGGGACAGGTAGGCTGCCAGCCAAGATGTGGCGGTGGCATGGGGTAGCGTCCCTGCGCTAGCTTGAATCTTGCCTGCATAGTAGTGACGATGGGGCCGGGCCTGGCCCAGGGCTGTTCTCTGGTCTCTGTCCCTTGTTTCCCCATTGCCCACCAAGGAAGATGATCCTACAATAAAGATTAAGAGGTGCTAAGATGGGGCCAGATCAATACCTAAGACTTCTCAAGGGTTCCTCCCCCCAAGAGGGGAGTTGGAGGGGGTGGGACTTCCACAAGGCACGGCTGAATGTGTGGGTGTAACCCTTGGCTCCCGTTTTCTCCGCAGATCTCCGCGGCTTCTCTTGGGGGGCAAACCCAGCTCCTCAGCTCGCTGGCCGCCGCCCCCGTGATCGCAAACACCATTCCCAGCGTCCAGGGGATAACGAGCCAGATCCTGACCAACGCCCAGGGACAGGTATATGGTGAGGGGCGTAGGGTGACCGGAGGTTCTGGTTTTATAGGTTAAAAAATCGCAGCCGGGGTGGGGAAGGGGGGGGTGAGTCTGTAACTTGAAAAACAACGAGTAATCCTGTGGTTACGTCTGCTGCTGTTCTGTAGAGCTCTTGGTTTCTGTTATTTCCACTCCAATTCATCTGAGGAAGTGGGTTTTGCCCACAAAAGCTTGCGAGCCCTGGTCCCCCTCCACCCCGATTTTTCATGCTTGATCACCCTATGATGGGCTCTGAGACAACCGGGGGATTTCACAAAGTCTCCCACTGGGCATCTTTCCTCTTCCCGAGAGCTGATGCTCAGGACAGAGAAGGCCAGAAGGGACTGTCTGATCAGCTGCTCTGAGCTCTTGCATCACTAGACGCCTCAGGCCTCGTGCTTTGGGGGGGCCCTGTGGCCATCGCCTCAGCCGTCCTGTGGATGGGAAGAACCCAGGGACAACCGGGGGATTTCACAAAGTCTCCCACTGGGCATCTTTCCTCTTCCCGAGAGCTGATGCTCAGGACAGAGAAGGCCAGAAGGGACTGTCTGATCAGCTGCTCTGAGCTCTTGCATCACTAGACGCCTCAGGCCTCGTGCTTTGGGGGGGCCCTGTGGCCATCGCCTCAGCCGTCCTGTGGATGGGAAGAACCCAGGGATTATGT